TTCCAAAGTACTGATAATTTCGGCTCATACATCACTGTGCTAGCTTTAATGGACAATGCCAGTTTGTCTCATCCAAATCGCTCAAGTGACGCGATTTTGGCGAGACCCGGTCCTCTGACCCATACACACCGGTGTCTGTGTGTGTGTAGCCACACACGGCTCGAATCCCGTCTGGGGTGCTGATGAGGCAACGGGGCGAGTTGGAAAATGCAGTCTAGTCCAGCCGAGATGAGATCTCGAGCATTTCTCATATATTATGGAGGAAAATCCACTATCAGACCATATATCATCTCAATATTCAGAAATTACTGATTGTTTCGAAACTTTCTGCCCCTAAAATGCTGTCTATCGCTGAGAATATGAGTCGCATGATAATGTAACATATTCACGAAGATTGTTGCAAGATCATCGACGGGATGCTAAAATAAATGTCCAGAAGAGCAAGGAGCATATTCAGACTATGACTTGTTTGTTCAGACATTTTCGGAGAAGCATCGCGTCTATCTGCCTCAAGCGCTTTGGCTAGAATTAAAATTTCCAGACCTCGAAGAGTACCAACTACCCGAACGCATAAAGCCCATTGTTGGTATGACCAGGAGTGGGATGAAGATGTAATCAGTAGATATCGACCAGGCCGAGCATCCTCTTCAGAGTTGCTGGAGGCGGAGGAAGACAAAGGTGTGAATGCGGACAAGAGTGGCATGTAGAGTTCCAGCGACACCCTTTATTTCTTGAGCCAATTCTTACAAAATACCCATTGGCTTTAATTAATCAGTCATCTTTCATCTGGCGGATGATTTAACACAGAATTGCCCTACTCGGTTGTAGAATTAATTCGAAAAGTCCGCCCTTGTGTTAGCATCTAAAGAATTTATTCCAGGCGTAAAATATGGATGATAAAATACAGTTTTGGCTTATTTTGTTGTAGTTTGAAGCAAAAACATGATAACTGGCTAATTGTAATCTGCAAGACAGAAGCACGCTGTTATGAGAATTTATTTTAGGCCTTTTTCATTGAAAAATAAACCAGTTTTCCTGCACTCTTTAAGCGGTTTCACATCATTGCTTGCTATACCGGAACTTGGGTAATCGAATAAACAGACAATTAGAATTTTATATTGAGATCAATTTATTTTGTGGTTGCCAAGCCAACTACAGTTCTAGACAAGAGTGGATCCGAATAGATGCTAGCAGCTGCCTAAGAAGCTATCAAGAAGTGCAAAATTGACAAATAATATAAAAATAAGCAAATACCCAATATTTTTATAAAAAAATATTATATTTGTATGAATATATATATTTATATATATTGAGTATCAATATTCTAGAGATTAAATATTTTTTAATAATTTAAATGTTCTAAGGATTTAC